GTATGTTTGGTGTGCAAGAAGCCGAGACGGAGTTGCGTTATGTTGCTCGTGTTCTCCGAGATGGGCATGCGTCAACACCTTCCGTGTGAACACTCCTGAATTTTGGGCCAGGCCCTCCTAGCACAGGCCCCATTCTCTGGACCCTTTTTGCAGAAGGAATCTGCAGCATGTTGAACGCCAACTCTCCTGGGTAGGGGGGAGAAGTAGGAACTCAAACTGAAGGATGGAGTGGCTAATAACGTTAATAAGAGACCTCCCGTGGCGACATTGAAAGCTGCTACCTTCCAGTGATGCATGTTGCTATGAGCCCAGGAGAACAGGATTTTATAATGCAAGAAACAAAAGCGAGGGAGAAGAATGGCATTTAATTAATTACATTTGCTGAGGCGTGGTCCTTCTCCCACCGGAGTCGGTGGGAGCTTGCTGCTGCCTTGCATAAAACTGGGATAGGGCCCTTGAAAGCTGAGGCCCTCAGGACCTCTGAACTCTTGTAGCGATGGATGTAAAGGTGCCGAGTGCTGTCCTCACGTCAGTGCCTGTTCTAACTGGCCATCGCCACGTTGGGAGCTGAGTGATCACAGGGGAAGTGCGGCAAGTGAAATTAAACTAGGGATGTGAGCAACTAGTCTACACACTAATCGCTCCCCTCCCCCCACAACTCCGTGCTGCCTCTATCAGAAAGAGGCAGCAAGGGGGTGGAAAGCAGTCGGTGCTTCAAAGCGGCAGCGCTGCATGGAGCCCGGGGTCGGCCGCTTTGAAACACCATGTGCAGCACAGGAGCTGCTGTTTTGAAATGCCGTGTGCAGCCCGGGGACATCTAGAGACTCCCTTGCTGACTCCGGGCTCCATGTGGCGCTGCCACTTTGAAACGCTGCAGGGAGCGTGGGGCCAGCAGGGTACTGCTTGAGTCCCCCACTAGCCCCAGGATCCCTGCAGCACCTTTGCCTTTGAAGTGTAGCAACAGCCACGAGGCGGAGGCGCCCTTATCGACAAATCGAATAGTCAACGCAAATTGCATCGACTATTCGATTAGCCAATTCATCGAAATGTGGATCCCTGCAGCACCTTTGCCTTTGAAGTGTAGCAACAGCCACGAGGCGGAGGCGCCCTTATCGACAAATCGAATAGTCAACGCAAATTGCATCGACTATTCGATTAGCCAATTCATCGAAATGTTACATCCCTAAATTAAACATGACTTGGGAGATGGCATTGGAACCCTCAGAGGGATGATGTGTTTGGCTTTTGCCGTGCTTTTTGACTCAGAGTCCCAAAGCACCTTCCAAATGCTAGTGAGTTTGGATACCCTGGTATCAATGTCCCATTTCAGGAGTTGGCAGTAATTTTGTTGGGGAGGGGAGGCACTCCAACATTTTGGTGAGTGGTCAAGGGCTGCGCTTTCCTATGGACAGGGTGCAGGGTCTGGGGTGGAGGTTGGGTGCAGAGGGGAGCTCAGGGTAGGGAATTGGGGTGCAGGAGAGGGCGTGGAGTATGAGGGGGGGGTTGGGTGAAGAAGTGGGTTTGCAGTGCGCAAAGTTTTCCCCCTCCCCCAGCGCAGAGAGGCAGATGGGGCAGCCAGCTGCTCTGAGCTCTGAGGCTGCTCTCTGCCTGAGGGCCCAGAGGGGTGGGCCACGGCCCAGACTGAAAGGCTTGGCAGGTCGGATCCAGCCTCCGGGCTGAATCTTGCCCATCCCTGTCCCAATTTCACAGATGAGGAAACTGAGGCATAGAGCATGTAATTTGCCTGAGGGTCTCAAAGAAGCCGGTGGCATAGCTGGGAATTGCTCTCCAGTTTCTTGATGCCAGGGCCACGCCCTTCTCTCTCTCTAAAATATGTCACCACCCCTTAGAGCTGCTTCCTTCCTGACATCCCCATCTTGCATGGCAACTGCGGAAGCCATTAAGCAAGTTAATTAAAGGTTGGGGTGAGCTGATACCATGATTAGCTTCTGGCTGGCCCTGTGAATTGCAGCTGGGGTAAAGAGCTCCCCAGTCTGGTGCAGATATCTGCCAGGTCGAGGCTATGGACGACCAGGAGTGTTGGGCCCATGGAGTGTGTTTCATTTGGGTTTTTATCCTTCACTTCTCTTGCAGAGAATTAAGAAAGATGTTGACAAAG